AATGCTGGCAACAGCAGATTTTCGACTCAGACCTTAAAGGGGCGTGGCATTATAACAACGTGACATTTACTCCGATCGCCAAAAATTTTATGTTATATTGTAGATTGATCTATATGTTATCCATTCTATGTGTTATACTTACGATAAAAGTAAAGGTGGGGATACTAGAGAGCTTCAAAGTAGGATGTACCCCCTAAAAAAAACTGGGTCGAGTCACCTTAACAAGGATCAAGTGATTAAACAAGCGACTAATAATTGCTAGCAATAAAACCAGACACGAGATACCGTTTTAAAAAACTTTATTAAAAACCAATGACAAAAAGAGTCAAATACACAGCGATTTGAAAGGAACAAATGTATGTGTCTGTAGAGAGCCCTTTAATGTCGATCATGCAATGATTTGTAAACCGGGCGGCTTCATTATACAACGCCATAACGAGCTGCAAGATCTTAAGGCGCAGATTAACCTGGTCTGTCATGATGTTGATCACAGGTGAGTCGTTAGCCAGGGGGGTTAATACAACCCCCGATGTCCGGCTTGACATTAATGCACGGGGTTTAGACAGGGTTCCATATTCTTTGATGTACGGGTGTGTCACCCAAATGCGGAATCTTACAAGGACCTCACCCCTTAGCAAATATATCGCCAGTATGAAAACGAGAAGAAACGTATGTACGCAAGCCGGGTTATGGAAGTGGAACAAGCCACGTTCACACCGCTGGTGTTCACCACTACAGGTGGCATGGCACCCGAATGTCAAGTCTATCACAAGCGACTAGCGAAAACTCCTGTCAGCCAAGAAAGGCGAGGGCTACTCGATAACGAATCTCATTTGCCAGAATCTCATTTGCCATTCTGAGAACATCCCTTCTATGCTTAATGGGATCGCGTTCAATGAGGAGAGTAAATCTCAACCTAAAAGAGATGGACTTCGACAACAAAAGAGGACTTTTGGGACGCTAGATTTTGACTTAGAGAAAAGATATTGAATATCGCATATTCAATAATTGCTGACTATTTAATATTCTTATCGTTGTTGGTTCATGTTGAAATCGTGGCAGATTTTAAAGAGGAATTAGTGAAAAGATGTTAAATATAGGTTGTGATTGCTAAGAGTAATAATAGTTAGTAGAGAAACATTTTCATGGATTATATTTCAAGAGATATTGAGACATGATGTTTTCTTTTCTTTCTAACAAATGTTAAAAGGTACAAATTTTGTTTAAATTATTAAGTGAAGCACTTTACATACTAGGTCTTTTTCATGAGTGTTGAATAAAGATTTTTTATTACTTATAATAATAATAATAATAATAATAATAATAATAATAATAATAATAGCGGAGCTCCACCCGCGCGCGAAGCGCGCGCGTGGACGGAGCCCCATAGCTAAGGAAATGTGGTAATCTACCCGTCCGAGAAAATTTGGTAATCACGTGACCGTACGCCCGAATGTCCGTCCGCACCACAGGGAAACCAATGTTTACTCTCACACTTTCTAGCTAGTTTGGGAGCCCAATAGAAAACTAATTGCACATCAATATTGTGATCAATTGACAGCTGTCAAAACAGGATATCCGCTGACCAGTATCACCTGACTGTACCGCGGGCTCAAGTGTCGACCCATCGAGGTCGAGTACTTTTTTGAAGTTATCCGCTGACAAATTACCAGTTTCAAATGATCGCAGGCTCAAATCTATTTTTTCCAATGATTCATATGAAATATGTTGTGTTTATGTCACTATGGCCCCGCACAATCAAGATTTTGATTTCAAACTGACCTCGGACGCGAAAATTCAGCCACTTTTTTAAAAATAAAGGCGGGGAAGACCTTTTCTTACCATGGTCACGGGTTGGTCACGCTCTACGTCCAATTTTTGTACTCTGATTGGTCAAAATGTGACAGGTGAGTTCATGCGGAAAACTTATGCAGCATCTTGAAAGTTGTTTACTTTTACAGCTGAAGCTGACAGAGTTTTGTGTCAACTTGTGATGTTTTTAACTGTCTAAATCTTTTTCCACTGGATGTACAAAATGAAATACAGCTGCTATCAAGAGTCTTCTGTTATCCATGGCTGGTTTGTTTTTTGGGTTTTTGGTTGAGAAATGCGTCGCTTGTCAAAATTGGGTAATCCGATTTCGGATGGCATCGTTTTCGTCTTTCACCTTGCTCAATGCGTAAGAG